TGTCACTTTAGTCTTGTTTGTGTCTTGCCTTGTGTGATACAGTTTAAGGGTGTTTAGGCTGGAACACCAGTAGCTGCCTTAAAAACTGCCTGGCAGTAATTGGCGAATTCTGGTATAACAACGCCACGTACCCTTTGACTGTTCTACCCTGTTATTACAATACAATGAGCACTACTCGTATGGAGATCTCCCAATATGATGGGAAGATCGACTTTAATACATGGAAAAAGAAGATGAAAGCCCTTCTTTCGCATAATAAAGTCGGGCTTGCCCTAGAAAAAGATGCCACTAAGTGGCCTGAAGAGAAACTAAAAAAGAAGACTGAAGTGGATGAGGAGGCCTACAATCTGATCATAATGAATCTGTCCGATGCAGTCTTGCGAAAGGTTGATGGCATGGAAACACCACTCACACTCTCGGGTAAACTCGAATCCCTTTATTCCTTACAGTCTACACCAAACTTAGCATTTCTTAAAGGAGCCTTATTTTCTTATAAAATGGATGTTACTAAGTCTATAGAAGAAAACCTTGATGAGTTTCTTAAGATGACATTAGTATTGAAAGGTACAGATCAGGAGTTGGGAGACTCCAGTTTGGCAATGATATTGTTAAATTCACTGCCTGATGAGTACTTAGTGGTGAAGAATGCTTTACAATACAGTGGGACAGTTCCCAGTGTTGACCTGATTATAGCAGGTCTTAAATCTACGGAATTGAAGTTGAAAGTACAGAAAAGGAATGGAAATAACCTGTTTGTCAAAGGTAGATCAGATCCAGGACAATCAGAAAGGGATAGCAATAAGAATTTCCAGCAACACATAAACCCTAGGGCTAAGAAAAAGGGGAAGAATAACAAGTCTAAGGGAGAAACTAGGAAGTGTTTCCACTATAATAAACCTGGCCACCTTAAGAAGAACTGCTATGATTGGATAAAGAAACAAAAACAGCAAAATACAGAGAGTAACCTAGCTAGCACTAGCACTGGCATTGAAGTTTCAGAAGCCCTCACTATCTCAAACCATGCTAGCAGTAAGGAATGGGTCCTAGATTCAGGGTGCACTTTTCATATGAGTCCCAACATCCAATGGTTCCAGAACTTTAGGAAGGGAGAGTTAGAAACTGTCTTCATGGGTAATAATCACTCTTGTAAGGTTCAAGGCATAGGAAACATAACCATTAGGTTGAATAATGGCAAAATCATAATGTTAACCAGAGTGAGGTATATACCTGACCTCAAAAGAAACCTGGTCTCCTTGGGAACTTTGGATGAAGCTGGATGTAGTTATAAGGCAGAAAAGGGATCCATAGTGGTGTACAAGAATAATGAAATACTACTTGAAGGGGTCAAACAAAATGGGCTGTACATTCTGTGTGGTCAACATTGTGCACTCACTGTAAAGTCTGCATTATCATCTACAAATCTGACTGCTGCAGAGAAATGGCATTTGAGACTTGGCCACATAGGCCAAAAAGGTATGACAGTGTTAAGCCAACATGGGTACTTTGGTAAGGAATCAATATCTGATTTAACTTTCTGTGAAGTTTGTGTGTTGGGAAAACAGCACAGAATGAGTTTCCAAAAGGGAACTCATCTGGCTGAAAAAGGGTTAGACTATGTTCATGCAGACCTGTGGGGTCCTGAAAGGGTTAGAACACATGGAGGGAATTGTTATTTCCTCTCCATTGTGGATGACTATAGCAGAAAGGTATGGGTGTACCTACTTAGGTCTAAAGATGAAGCCTTAACCAAGTTTAAAGGCTGGAAAAACTTGGTTGAAAACCAAGTTAACAGGAAGGTAAAAACCCTTAGGACTGATAATGGCCTGGAATTCTGTAATCAGGAGTTTGACTCTTATTGTGTAGAAGAGGGAATCTTGAGGCATAGGACTGTTAGGGGAACCCCTCAGCAAAATGGAGTTGCTGAGAGAATGAACAGAACCCTTCTTGAAAGGGTTAGATGTCTCTTATTCACAGCTGGTCTACCAAAAACTTTTTGGGGGGAAGCCTTAGGCACAGCAGCTTACCTTATAAATAGGAGCCCTTCTAGCTCAATAGACTTTAAGTGCCCTGAAGAGAAGTGGTCTGAAAGGAGACCATCTCTTGAACACCTAAGAGTCTTTGGATGTGCAGCATATGCACATACCAGAGATGGAAAGTTAGAACCAAGATCCCTCAAGTGTGTCTTCTTAGGATATCAAGAGGGAACAAAGGGCTATAGGCTGTGGGAAAGGGCTGCCCCAGGGATTAGGGTAATTGTTAGTAGGGATGTGATTTTCAATGAAACAGTTTTTCCTTGCAAATCTGGTACTAACAGTGCAGGTAGCTCACAAGAAGAGTCTGAAACCTCAGGACAAACTGGGACAACTCAGTTTGAGGTGGAGCCTGAAACTAACCCTGATCAATACACCCAAACAGATGATCCTGATCCTGTTGAAGATCAACCACAACATAATCAAGAGCAGGAGGGTGAAGATTACCCTACTGACAATGCTGAAGTGGATCAGCAGGATAACTTGGCCCAATATCAGTTAGCCAGGGACAGAGTCAGAAGGGAAATCAGACCCCCTGCAAGGTACAGCTATGCTGACCTGATTTATACAGCACTCCTAGCTGGTTCAGAGATACATCGATCAGAACCAAATACTTATGATGAGGCAATGAGTTCAAGGGATAGAAAAGAATGGTTGGCTGCTATGGAGGAAGAGATGGAGTCATTGCACTCAAACAAAACCTGGACACTAGTTCCAAAGCCAAAGAATCAGAAATTGGTGGAGTGCAGATGGTTGTACAAACTGAAAGAAGGGATAAATGAATCTGACCCACCAAGATTCAAAGCAAGGTTAGTGGCTAAGGGCTACACTCAAAGAGCAGGTATTGATTTCACTGAAATATTTTCTCCAGTAGTTAAATTTAAAACTATTAGACTCATGCTAGCAATTGTAGTTCAACATGATTTAGAGATAGAACAACTGGATGTTAAAACTGCTTTCTTGCATGGTGAGTTGGATGAGAAAATATTCATGAGTCAACCTGTAGGTTTTAAGGATAAAAAACTGCCTGATTATGTATGCTTACTGAATAAATCTCTGTATGGACTTAAACAGTCCCCTAGACAGTGGTACAAGAGATTTGATGCATTCATAATAGGAAATGGATTCACTAGAAGCATGTATGATAACTGTTTCTATTTTGCCTGTATGAATAACATGCCAATCTACCTTTTGCTATATGTAGATGACATGTTAATAATTAGCAAGTCCATGTCACAAATTAATGCATTAAAGGCCAAATTGAATACTGAATTTGATATGAAGGACTTAGGGAAGGCAAAGAAAATACTAGGAATGATGATTGATAGAGATAGAAGTGTACATACTCTTAAACTGCATCAATCCTCATACTTACAAAAACTAGTTTTAAAATTTGGTCTAAATGAATCCAAAGTAGTGACAATGCCCTTAGCAAACCATTTCATACTTAGTAAGTCACAGTCCCCAAAAACAGAGTCAGAAAGATTGAAAATGGAGAATGTCCCTTATTCTAATGCCATAGGTTTTGTAATGTATTCCATGATATCCACCAGACCTGATTTAGCATATGCAATATCACTATTAAGCATATTCATGTCAAACCTTGGAAATGAACACTGGAATACATTAAAATGGTTGATGAGATATATTAATGGTACTGTTCAAATTGGTTTAATGTTCTGTAAAAGATATGCATCACTTGATCTGGTGGGGTATGTAGATGCAGACTTTGCAGGTGATAGAGACTCTAGGAAGTCCACAACTGCCTATTACTTCACACTGGGAGGCAACTGTGTTAGTTGGAAAGCTCAGTTGCAACCTTTGGTTGCATTATCCACTACTGAAGCTGAGTATGTAGCAGTTTCAGATGCATTCAAGGAAGCAACATGGTTGCAAGGGATCCTGAAAGAAGCTGATCTGTTGAATGGCACAGCAACAGTCTACTCTGATAGTCAAAGTGCCATCCATTTGAGCAAGAACCCAGTGTATCACGAACGAACAAAACATGTGGATGTAAGACATCACTTTGTCAGAGACCTGATTACAAAGGGAGAGATAAATCTATTGAAGGTACCTACTGAAGATAATCCAGCGGACATGGGAACAAAAGTGGTGACCACAGCCAAGTTCAAGCATTGCTTGAACCTGCTTCACATTAAGTAAATACTGTCCTTCAGAGCTGAGAAGAAATATGGGATAGCTTACTGCACTAAAAGGAAGTCCAATAAATGAAAGGAATAAAGTTGGCTTCAAGGTGGAGACTGAAAGTATTGTGAAGCCAAAAACGGAGCCATTTCACTTAAGTCTATTCAAGCCAAAACGGGGTCGTTTCGTTTAAGACCATTACCGAATTTCAGCCGTCAGATCAAGACAGATCCAAAGGCTGAGAATTACGAATGCAGACATATATAAAGAAGAGCAACAGTGATAAATGCATAATGTGTTTTTCATTGTCAATCGGGTATTAGGGTTTGAGAGAGGGAAATACTGGGGTTGGTTTTCTGCTGAATCTTTCTGGGTTTAATCTGGTTGATTGTGAGAAAGGGTTGCGTTTCCTTCCAGAGGCTTGTATTTGTCCTCTGTTTTCTTGCAGATTATTGAGAGATTCGTGAGTGATTAGGCCTTGGTTGGGTGTTAATCTGTTTCGGCAGATTTGTAGTCTTATCCTTCTTGTAATCGTTAAATATCTTCTTAGTGCTGTGAGTGTCCGTATTTCGGAGCTCAACGTGGATGTAGTCTATCCAAGATTGGATAGACGAACCACGGTAAAATCGTGCTTTGTGTTATGTGTGTGATTCTTTGATCTTTAATCTTGTGTGTGATTATTTGTGTTGTGAATTTGCTTGTTAGGCTTAGGTTATAACACTTCCCTTCAATTAACTTCTATATAATGGGAGGCGATATAATGTTCTTGAACCATACTGATTCTCGTACTCGATCGTTTCTATAATCTTATTACACTAGATTGAGATGGCTCTTACTGGTAAGCTGGAGGCTAATTTAGGAATCAACGCGCCGGCTGCGGCGTTCTACAATGTCTGGAAAAGCCAATGCCACCATCTCCCTAATGCCACTCCTTCAAATATGCAGGCTGTTGAGGTTCATGAAGGTGACTGGGAGACCGCTGGCTCCATCAAGTTGTGGAATTATACAGTAGGTAAGGAAAAACTAGGTTAAATTTCATTTTTTTTATTATTTTTCTTTTAAATTTAAATCGAATCTCTCGATCTTCTTGTTTATATAAAAAGGTCTATAACGCTTGTTAGGATTCTCTTCTGTTATAAGCTTTTCTGTTTCTTGTGATTTACAGCGGGAAGGAGCGAGAGTTACAAAGAGAGGATCGAAGTGGACGATGAAACGATGACGGTGGGTCTTGTGGGATTGGAAGGAGATGTGTTCAAGAACTACAAGAGCTGGAAGCCCATCATTCAAGTTATTCCAAAAGAGAGTGGAAGCTTGCTGAAACTGACTTTAGAATATGAGAAACGAAGTGAGGATATTCCAGTTCCGAATGAATATTTGGATTTTATGGTCAGCGTTATGACTGATCTTGCTGCTCATCTTACCAAGGCATAGAAATTAAGGAACAAAAATGGCTGCTACTTGGTTGTGAAAATTAAATAAATCAAGAAGCTCTTGAGTCGATTGTTTTTTTTCCCCTGTGATTTGTGAGATTGTGTGAGAATTTGATTTGTTGTCCGAAGTTTTATTAAATAATAAATTAAGTAGCAGTATGTTGCAGCTGCTTTCTCTCTTATGCATTCATCGATCTCCTCTCACTCTCTTCGTTATTACTTCGTATTGTGCAGAAGAGAAGCTAAAAGTACTAACTTGTTACTGCTCTTATGTTTGTAATACACAGCGTTTTTAGGCAAAGTCTTAAAACACTGCGTTTTGTATTACACAGCAACTATGAGGGCATATGTGTACAGTTTTGTTAGTTAATGAAAAACAGAACGAAATTCACTCAACACAGTCACGTATTCTATCTTCTTTCTTCTTGAATTTTTCTTTAATACACAAATCTCTTCATGTTATCATATCCCTAGACACGCGTCTATGGTGAATCTAAACTCTGATTTAGCTAATTCATCCTCAGCTTTAGGAGCAATGGACTCCATTTTTACGAGTTGTGCAACTACAGCTGCTACTCCTACTTTACCTTCAATCTTGGTCAAGCTATTGGAGAGAAATTATACATTTTGGAAGTAGCAAATTCTGCCCACTTTAACCTCTCATGGATTGGACAGCTTTGTTACAGGAGAGAAAGCTTGTCCTTTAATGTTTCTGATAGAGAAGTCAGATGAATAAGGGGAGACGATAAAGAAAGCAAACCCTAACTACTTTACTTGGAATAAATTTGATCAATTTCTTGTTGGTTGGTTATTTTCCACTATCTCTGAGTGAATGTTTAGACACATAGCTAAATGCAATACTGCTTATGAAATCTGGAACATTTTGGAATTGCACTTTCAATCAGTTTCTAAAGCTAGGACACTACATTTAAGAAACTTATTACAAACCACTAAGAAAGATTCATGTAGTATTAGTGAATATGTACTAAAGATGAAAGAACTAGGAGATGAATTGGTTGCTAGTGGAGTGAATATAAATCAAGAGGAGCTGTTGTTGTACATTCTTGATAGGTTAGGACCAGAATATGATGTCGTGATAGCTAACCTTACTTTCAATAGTAGTAGCACTACGTTACAAGAGGCTCAGTTCCTACTTCATAAGCACGAAATGTAACTTGAGAGACAACAAATAATGCTAAGGACACACATTTTTTGCATCGAATTTTTTTACCGAACGACGTGACATCCAGTCAGACGTGAACACATTGGACATAAAACACATCTCTCGTGAATGGACGGTCGTCTAACAATCACAGACAATCGTCCATATTTTATGGATGGTCGTTTATCACGAATGGATGAGCGTCTACAAAAATATCAATAGATCCCCGTCTATATTATATGGACGGGTGTCCATTTACTTATATGGATGCTCGTTCAAAAAATTTTAAAACCAAAATGATTGACACCCGTCCGTCTAATATGGACGAGCATCCATATACAATGGACGACCGTCCATAGTAATTTAACCCACATTTGAGATTTGCTCCAATATAATACGTCATCTGGAATGCATCACCATTCTTGTCGCACAACACAAGCCAGTGTCTAGATACAGAGTTCCTTTGGCAGAGAAAAAAGTGTTTCAAAATGAATGTAAATTCAAAACTTACTTTTAGAGGTCAAATTAAGCAGAAGGTCCTGTTTTGGCATTGACTTACCAATTAAATTTCACTAATAACAATGACCACACAAAATTTGATAAGAAATATGGAGCGATTGGGTAGCTTTTGTGACAATAATGCGCCGAAATCTGAAGGAAAAGTCCTTGCAAATGCATAAACATAATGATGATTTGGATGGTCGTCCATCGTATATGACCACTTGTCCGTATTAAATGGAAGAGTGTCAATCATTTTGTTTTTAAAATTTTATGGATGAGCGTCTATCTCGTTCATCTTATATCTACCCATCCATATAATATGGATGAGCGTCCATTTGTGATAAACGGTCGTCCATAAAGTATGGATGGTAGTTCATGATTATTGGATGACCGTCCATTCATGTGAGACGTGTTTTTTATCCAATGTGTCTCCGTCTGACTAGATGCCATGTCGTTCAGTAAAAAATTTCGATACAAAAAATCGATATCCGTAACACTATTGGAGAGACAACATAATGTGACGTGGGGATTACTAAATTATGTGTTTCGGTCCCATTAACTATGAACGTGAGGATTGTTTTTAATATAATTTACAAATCCAATTATTCATTGAATAAATTAGTAATAGATTGGCATTCAATTATTGTCTGAATAGGTGACGTGGCAGCTAATGTGACACGTCAATCGGTGTGAAAGTGTTAGGAAAGGTATATTATTGTATTTTTATCGACAGCTTCTTAAATAGCTTCTTAAATAGTAAGAGAATGAAAAAAACAATGCTACATTATCGAAAAATGCACATCAAATTCATGCATAGAATGATGTGACGTAATTCTGTTTTCTTAAAAAAAAAAAATTCATAATTAATTGATAATCAGGATTGCATTACGTCATTCAGTGTATGAATTCAACATACATTCTTCGGTAACTAAATTATTTTCTAATAAACAATATTGGAAGAATAAGAATAATAAGAAACAATAAAATTAATCCATTCTTCACAGGATTTTGCCGTATTGAAAAGAAGGAAGCAAGAAATAAGAAACGATGAAGCAAGCTAAAAAAAAATTGCAATTTCTTTTCCCCATAATTGGTGAAACTTTGGACTTGCTATGTAAGCAAAATCAGCAAAAGGATTTATGTAGAAGATACTTGCTTCTTGACTGGAAATTAGGAAAGGCAAACATACAATATCAATAACCAGCGAGAGAAAATAATACACAACATTAAATTCACATTTCATTAATTTATAATAAACAAACACTGACTGGTCGAACAAGCCAATTATTCAACTACTTCCGAAAGTAGCTCTTATTTTCAGCTGCCAAAACACACACGAAAACACGGTAAAATTAATGACATGTAGGTTTATGCCTTCTGCTCGGTAAGATGGGCATCGATATCTTTGGTCATGCCGAGAGCTAGCTGACCTATTCCTTGGGGTTGCGGAATATTTTCATGCAGCTTCTCATAAGTGAAAGTCCAGTGCACCAAACTGCCCTCACCTTTTGGAGTAGCCTGAACCACGATATGGAAGTTCTTATACTTCTCCAACAAATGCCCTTCAATCACTTTAAAAGTGGTTGAGTTTTTCTCATTATCTATGGCTTCAATTATCTCCTTAGCAGTCTCAGGAACCCCATCTGTATACGGTTAATTAATTAACAAACATAAATACAATTAGTACATAGAAATTACGAACATATGCAATAATATGAATATTGGTCTGTGTATGGGTTACCATGGGTGTAATTCCAGAAGATAACAGAGCCCGGCTTTCCCCATTCACCTTCATGAATTTCACAACTCTGAATGTGTGCGGGGCTGACATTGGAAATGTGGTGTGGCCTGCCGCTAATAACCTCATGAAACTCAGCAGCAGGAGCCTTGATCTCTATGTCAATCTCCGACTTACCAACAAGAGACATTTTTTTTCTTCACTTGATGATATCAAGAACCAAATATTATTCACCAGTAAATTTTTAGAAGATTGTGTTGAGGAACGCTGGTCACTGGCCTTTATATAGAAGATTGTGTATACTTTACATACTGTATCATATAAACAATTACGTAATAATATATAAATCTAACACATCCTTCACGTGAGATGGGGACCAGATAGATGATTTGGGAATATATGATATGGAGAAGTCTAGAGATCATAATTAAGATAATTAAGACAGATAACTAAATATTATAAAAATTTTAAATGAGTGGTAATTCGAATTTAATACATTGAACTTTGATAGACTACTAAAGTTAATATAATTTCTACATTATTATAAATAAGTGAATATAAGTATATTTAATCATGTATATTACACTTTTAAAATAAATACACAAATTTAGTGTTTCCTTTTAGGAAATCTTGACGTTACGAAAGAGATGTTTTTGGTAAATATCTCAAATAATGTGAACAATTGATTAATCAATGTCACATTAGTAATAAGATGATATTAAAAATAATTATATGAAGCTAGCTATAAAATTAAGCTTTATTTAAGTATTTCATTGTGCTGCTTATCATGCATTACAACAATGTAATTCCATTTTTTTTTTTTTTTTATTTCCTTTAAACACATGATTCATGTGTTATTTTGAAATTTCAAGACACTATTAATGGAGCCTTAGGTGGACGATTGATTTGTTTGGAGTTTTTAAAAGCAGTAAAGGTCAAGGTATTAGGTGAAATTATTAATTTAATAAATATTTAGAACAAGTTTGATATGTATTTCACTATGATTTATTGTTTTGTTTCTTCCCAAAGACTAATTGATAAAAGGAATTTGAGAAATATGTAAAATTGGTACCAGTGTTTCTAAAATGTGTTTATGGACTTGAAAATACCTGAAAATTAGAAAGAAATAAAATGCTATATTCATGAAATTTTAACCCGATTAAATTTACAAATTAAGCAACAATTTAAACGTCTATTTTGTGGGTAATCTATCATTGTTGTAAGGAATAATTAATTCAATTAATATTTCTCAACCCACTTGTTGATAACTTTGGCATTAGCCTGTCAACCTCATTACTAATCCTGATTAGTTAAACATTATGAAATTATATTTTATTCATAATGATATAGATGAAGTGGGGCAAAATCTGGTTGATCGGGTTGGTATGATACACTGGAGGATTAAAAAAAGATACTAATTAAATAGAGTATGTAAACCACTTTTTCCTACTCAAATAATGATTTAATGACAATTTTCCATCTACAGACTTTTAAAATACCACTTTATTATCCAAATTTATATTCAATTTCAATTTCTGCATCGTTGCAACCGTACACTATCGCTATTCTCTTCTTCGATCATCACTCATTAAAACTTCTTAAACCCTACTCTCTCGACCCT